ATTTCTCCCTTTCTGTCTCTCTGTCTCTCTCTATCTTTCTGGTGAGCGCACACGCCCTATAGCATAAATAAATAACCTCCCCCCAAAAAGTCATAATATATTTTTCTCTTTTTTTTGGGGGGGGGCGGAGAGCAGAGGTTTTTGCTATAGGGGAAATCACCCCCCAGGGGGGATGGCCACACCATATTCCCCTCTCTTCCATTCTCCTCTCAGGATCTTGGGCATGCACGCACACATGGCCAGCATGAGTTTAGGCCACCAGGTCCAGGACTTGAACTGTGGTCAGCTACGTCCAGCGATGTAGCCATTATGCCACCTGCTGGTCCCCATAACATGTTTCTCTATGCAAAAATGCAGCATGACTTTTCCAATGACCCGATAAAAATAGTAGTAGGGGCCAGCAAGTGGCGTGGTGGTTAAGGCACTCTCTCTCTCTGTGTTTTTCTCTGGTGAAATTAAAAAGTAATAATAAATAAGGGGCCAGGAGGTGGCTTGGTGGTTAAGGGCACTGAACTCTCACATGGCTAACTGTGGTACAAGTCCCAGACCTGGTGGCTTGCTTTCTCAGGTTCCTTCTCTCTCTCTCACTGTCCCTCTCTGGTCAAATTTAAATAAATAAGTAAATTAGTTAATTAAATAGAATTAAAAACAATTATTTAAAAAAGTAGTGAAATGTTTAAGAAGTAGTAATAAAAGAATTCTTTTAAAACTAATAATAAATAGGGAACCAGCAGTTAGCGTAATAGCTATGTCGCTGGACTCCCACGTAGTCGACCGCGGTTCGTGTCCCGGACCCGGTGGCTTAGAACTCACGCCGGGCGCGTGTGCGTGCGTGCCCAAGATCCCGAGAGGAGAATGGAGGAGAAGGGATTGCGGCGTGACCATCCCCCCTGGGGGGTGATTTCTCGCTTTCTGTCTCTATGTCTCTCTCTGTCGGTCTGGCGAGCGCACGCGCCCTACAGTGAAAATCTCTCCAAAAAAAAAAAAAAAACTAATAATAAATAGGTACCAGCAGTTGATATAATGGCTATGTTGCTGAACTGCCATGTAGTCAACCGTGGTTCAAGTCCCAGACCCGGTGGCTTAAACTCACACTGGCTGCATGTGTGTGTGTGCCCAAGATCCCGAGAGGAGAATGGAGGAGAAGGGATTGCGGCGTGGCCATCCCCCCTGGGGGTGATTTCTCGCTTTCTGTCTCTCCGTCTCTCTTCTTTCTGGTGAGCACACACATCCTATAGCAAATAAATATAAAAAAACCTCTCCAAAAAACCAAAACTTAATAATAAATAAAATTGAATAAAAAATGGTTCTTAAAAAGTTATTTATGATAGAGCATGTGCGCCTGAGAGGGAAGGGCAGGAGGTACACACTGTGGGCACCGCCCGCAGAGAGTGGTCCCGCCATGACCCCCTTCCCCAGCAGGGCAGATCGGGCACGTGCACGTGTGCCCTGTGTTTCAGGCTGACCGGCTTGGGGATGAGAACCTCGGTCTCCAGGTGGGATGCCGCTCTGCTGAGCAGCGCGTCAGCACTACCGCTGCCAGCCCAGAGCCTGTCCGAGTGTACACTGATGCCGTGCGCTATCCCCGCCCTCGCCCTCAGCCGGCCGGGAGTGGCCTTTGGTGGTCCCTGCCGTCCGCTCGTGCTAGGAGCAGTGGCAGCGGAAGGGGGGAGGCTGCGAAGCTGTCGGAATTGGTTCCAGGGGCTAAAAGGCCACTGAGTGGAGGGGCAGAAACGCCGTGCCCAGGGGTCCTGCGGTGGATCCCAGCTCTCGGTAGGGAGTCACCGCCCCTGGAGAACCCTGGAGGGAAGATCCTGCGTCGTTGCAGAGCAGAGCCACCTCCTTGGCTGAGACGAAACTTCTCCAGGTCAGGTTTCACCAAAAAAACCCATGTGGGCGAAACCGTGACCCGTTTCTTCAGTGCCTCTTCTCTCTTTCGCACTGAAGCCTTTGATTGATCTGGTTTTGGTTTTCGTGGCTGGTGTTGCATGTTTTTCTCAGTGGAAAAGCGGTACCCCGCCACCACTGAGGAAGTAGCCGTGTCCCAGCCCTGTCCGCTCAGCAGCGCTCTCTCACTGGGACTTTGGGTGTGTGCCCTCCTCTGTTTCTGGCCCCCTGCTGTGTTCCCTCGGCCACGTGTCTGTCCTGGTCCCTGTCTCAGTGGCTGTAGCTTTACTGTGAGCATCAAGCCTCACTCTTCTTTAGGACTATCTTGATTCTTCCATGTAAATTTTAGAATCAGCTCACCAGGTTCCTTAGAGGAAAAACTCCCAGCTAGGAATCTGTCGGAATCACAGTAAATTTGCAGACAAGTTCAGGAGAGAATGAACGTCCTCGTGATCTCTGAGTATTGCTCTATCCCCAGTCTTACTATCGCATCCTCCTGGAAATTCTGATGGAAGATGTTAGACCATCTGGGCTAGCCAGTGGTGCAGTGTTAAGGCAGCTGGATCTCACTTGTCTAGCTGTGTAGTTCAAATCCCAGACCCAGAGGCTCGAAAAACACACCAGGCACATGTGCTTGCATGCTCAAAATCCTAAGTGAGAAATAGAGGAAAGAGATTGCAGTATGGTCATCCCTCCTGCAGGGGGTGCTCCTCTCCCTCTCTCTTTCGCTCACTCTGCCTCTCCAGTGAGTGCACGTGCCCTATTGCAAAAACTTTTAAAAAGGCCATCTGAATTTCAGTTGTTGTAATTTTCATTTCTAGAAGTTCTGTATTCTTTTAAAATCTGCTTGGTCATTTTTCATAATTTCTTATTCCTGATTTATATATACGTACATTTTTAAAGAATTATTTTGTTTAACATTATTTATTTACTTATTTTTCAATTTGACCAAAGAGGGACAGAGCGAAAGAGAGAGAGTGGGAAAGTGAGAAAGCAAGCTGCCAGGTCCAGGACTCGAACCATGGTTGGCCATGTAGGAGTCCAATGCCATTAACTACCACACCATTTGCCAGCCCCTTTTCTTATTTTGAGATGTTATTTTTTTGCCATAGTGCACATGTGGTTGCCAGAGAGAGAGACTGAAAGTGAAAAATCACCCCCTAGGGGTGATGGCCATGCCTCAACCACTTCTCCATTCTCCTGAGGTCTTGGGCATACACGCACATGCACCCAGTGTGATTTTCAAGTCACTGGGTCCAAGTCTCAAACCATGGTCAGCCATGTGGGAGTCCAGCGACGTAACCACTACACCATCTGACAGCCCCTCCTTAAATTCCATTTGTTATTATTATTTTTTCAATTTCGCCAGAGAGAGACAAAGAGAGAGAGAGAAAGGGAAAAAGAGAAAGCAAGTCACCAGGTCTGAGACTCAAACCGCAGTCAGCCCACGTGGGAATCCAGCGCCTTTAACCACCACGCCTTTGGGTGCTTCTGCCCTCAGTCTTGACTAAGGAATGGAGTTGCCATGGAAGTCGCTTGGAGCTGGGTAACGAGAAAAATGACATTTCACAGAACTGTTTTCTTCTTCAGATGCTCCAGGAAGATTTTGCTTCCTGGTTGGTTATGATTTTAAAAAAACATTCTCTTGGCCAGCAGGCAGAGTAGTGGTTTAAGTGCTGGACTCCCACATGGCTGACCACGGTTCAGGTCCTGGACTTGGCAGCTTGCTTTCTCACTTTCCTTTTCACTGTCTCTCTGGTCAACTTCAATAAATAAATAAAACAATGACAATTAATAAAATTAAATAATTCTTAAAAAGATAAACCATTCTGGTGGGAACCAGCAGTTAGCGTAATGGCTATGTCGCTGGATTCCCATGTAGTCGACCGTGGTTCACGTCCCGGACCCGGTGGCTTAAACTCACGTCGGGCATGTGTGCGTGCATGCCCAAGATCCTGAGAGGAGAATGGAGGAGAAGGGATTGCAGCGTGACCATCCTGCCTGGGTAGTGATTTCTTGCTTTCTGTCCCTCTGTCTCTCTCTGTCTGTCTGGAGAGCGCACGTGCCCTATAGTGAAAATCTCTCGAAAAAGAAAAAAAAAATTAAAACTCTATACTTTTACATCAGATGGAAAGCTAGTAGCTACATGTGTATGAAATAAAGTTGTATATTGGCATGAAAATATCTTAAGTCCTTTCTGGAGCAAGAAATATAAAGGAAGAACGTTAGTACGAGCTCACGTGTGTGAGGAAGTGGGGAGAGGAGACGGCGGGAAGTGTCTGGAGGTTAACAGTGGTCATCTCAGAGTGGGGGCGGCCATTATCCCCCGTGGCAGCAGGTGCAGGTGGCAGTCAGAGCCAGGGTCTCACATTGAGCTGGTGCCTGTGTGGCCTTAGACCAAGCACAAACTAGCCCTTTTTTGTTTCTTTATTGTTGGGTTGTTTTGAGGATCAAATGAATAACAAGTCTCAAAAGCCAGCCTGTGACCTGGGACACATTGGCTCTGTGAATAGTGACGGTTATTATTTTTATGCATCTGCTATCTTTCCAGATCATTTCATACAGAACATGCTCTGCTTTGTAATCAAAGAAAGTAAAACTAAAACTTTTTAAAATTAGAGACCAGCAGTTGGCGTGATGGCTATGTCAGTGGACTTCCATGTAGTCGACCACGGTTTGAGTCCTGGACCCGGTGGCTTAAAACTCAGCCAGGTGTGCGTGCGTGTCCAAGATCCCGAGTGGAAAATGGAGGAAAAGGGATTGCGGCATGGCCATCCCCCCGGGGGGTGATTTTTCTCTGTTTCTCTGTCTTTCTGGCAAGAGCACGAGCCCTATAGCAAAATCCTCCCCAAAAAAAAAAAAAAAATACAACCTGTTAAAATTAAAACAACAAAAGCAAGGGCAATACACATGTGGCCCACAGAACTCCTTTACCTCAGGGTTGGGGGTGCGGGATTCCTGGACTGTCCCCTGCTGTTGAAGAAGGGCTCCACGTGGGAGCCAGCACAGCAGGGTGGCGGCAGCCCAGGGTCTGGCCTGGGGAGGGCAGGGGCTGGGAGAGGGCTTGGGTCAGAGTGGTTTTAGAGATGCTGAGCTGGCCCTGTCCTGCCCAGGACGCAACGAGCCCCTGAAGAAGGAGCGGCTCAAGTGGAAGAGCGACTACCCCATGACTGATGGGCAGCTGCGCAGCAAACGGGATGAGTTCTGGGACACAGCACCCGCCTTCGAGGGCCGCAAGGAGATCTGGGACGCCCTCAAGGCTGCCGCCTATGCTGCAGAGGCCAACGACCACGAGCTGGCTCAGGCCATCCTGGATGGGGCCAGCATCACCCTGCCTCACGGTAAGTGAGCGGGCCCGGGCTTTCCCGCCTAGTTCCCCTGGAACTAGGGGTCACTGTCACAGTGTAGGGGTGGAAGCCATGTGTCAGGAGTCTCTGTCCAAGCTGGTGGGGTGGGGGCGTCACTGTTCATGCAGCAGTCCTCACTGAGCATGGGCCAGGAGTGTGGATGGGAAGTGAGACACAGTCACCCCTTCCCCTCCCCAAGAAGGGATGGAAATACAGTAGGGGCCCTTGAAGCAGTGCAAGCTAAAGGCTGCTCGGGGTTGGGCTGGCCCAGTGGCCTAGTGGTTAAGGAAACTGGGACCCATGGCCAGCTGCATGGTTCAAGTCCCCGCCCAGCAGCTTAAAAAGCACCATGGGCACTTATACATGTCCCAGATCCTGACAGGATAAGAGGGTCAGCAGGTAGCATGATAGTTGAGGCAGCTGGACTCCCTCATGGCTGACCACAGTTCAAGTCCTGGAACTGGCAGCTTGCTTTCTCACTTTCCTTCTCTCTGGTCAACTTCAAAAAAATAAAAATAAAATAAAATAATGACAATGAATAAAATTAATTAAAAATAATTCTTTAAAAAAAGAAAGAAATTGGGACCAGCAGTTAGCATGATGGCTATGTCGCTGGACTCCCATGTAGTCGACCGTGATTCAAGTCCCGGACCCGGTGGCTTAAACTCACTCCGGGCCTGTGTGCGAGCATGGCCATCCCCCCTGGGGGGTGATTTCTCACTTTCTGTCTCTCTGTCTCTCTGTGTCTTTCTGGCAACTGCACGCACCCTATAGCAAAAACCTCTCCAAAAAAAAAAGGAAAGAAATGGAGGGACCAGCAGTTGGCATAATGACTATGTCGCTGAACTCCCATGTAGTCGACCGCGGTTCGAGTCCCAGACCCAGTGGCTTAAACTCACACCGGGTGCGTGTGCCTGCATGCCCAAGATCCTGAGAGGAGAGTGGTGGAGAAGGGATTGCAGCGTGGCCAACCCCTCCTGGGGGGGGGTGATTTCTTACTTTCTGTCTCTCTGTCTCTCTCTTTCTGGTGAGTGCAGGCACCCTGTAGCAAAAACCTCTCCAAAAAAAAAAAAAAAGAAAGAAAGAAAGAAATGGAGAAGGGACCGTGGCATGACCGCATCTCATTGGGGGTGGCTTCTTCCTCTCTCTCTCTCTCTCTTTGCTAAATGCCCATGCCCTCTAGCTAATTTGGGGGGTGGGGAGTCATGCTTAGGAAATTTCGGGGTCCCAGGACATCTGAGCACTGACTCTGCTGGGTTACCATGTGGTGGGCAGTGAACTAGAAGCTTCCTTTGCATTATCTCATCTGAGTTCATAGCAGCCGTACAGGACTGTGCGGAGGGTAGCAGTGAGACTCTAGAGTCATAGACCTGGTTTGTTTTTTTCCTTCCAGAGAGATTTTTTTAGCTATAAGGCATGTGTGCTCACCAGAGAGGCAGAGAGACAGAAAGCAAGAAATCACCTTCCAGGGGGAATGCCCGTGCTGCAATCCCTTCTCCTGCACTCTCCCCTCAGGATTTTGGGCACGCACACACACGTGCCCAGTGTGAGTTTTAAGCCACCAGGTCTGGGACTCAAACCACACAGTCAACTGTATGAGAGTCCAGTAATGTAACCATTGTGCTATCTGCTGTTCCCTCCATAGACCTGGGTTTTGTTTTGTTTTGTTTTTTGTTTTTTGTTTTTAATTTTTATTTATTATTCAATTTAATGCCACGCAACAGAGTGAGAAAGCCACCAGATAGATCATGGTTGCCCACGTGGGAGTCCAGCATCTTAACCACCATGCCACCTGCCTGCCCCTATAGACCTGGGTTTTAACTCAGGTGTTTCCCTTCTCTCTCTCTTTTTTCCTCCCTTCCTTTCTTCCTTTCTTCCCTCCTTTCCTCCCTCCCTCCCTCTCTCCCTCTCTCCCTCCCTCCCTCTCTCTCTCTCTCTCTCTCTCTTTCTTTCTGCCAGAGGTGCACATGTTCACTATAGAGAGACAGGTGGGAGGGGTGGGGTGAGAGAGGATGGTCGTGCTGCAGCGCCTTCTCTGTATCTCACTCCTTTCGGGATCTGGGACACACACGCATGTGTCCAGCATGTTTCTCAAGCCACCAGGTCAAGGACTCCAGCGTGCAGTCAGCCATGTGGGATCCAGCCACCTTCACCGCCATGCCACCAGCCGGCCTAGCGTTCCTTTCCTCTCTTAGTGACATCAGGCAAGGGACACCTTGCATTTGGAGTCTAAGGGTCTTACAGCTGTAAAGGGGGGGACACCACCAGCCCCAGGGCTTAGTATTTTCTCAGAATTCTAGAGGCTAGAAACTCAAGAAAAGGTTTGGGAGGAGGGCTCTCTTCGTAGCTTGCAGGTGGCTACCTTCTCGTTGTACCTTCGCATGGCGAGAAAAGAGGGTGAAAGAGAGGAAACTGATATCTCTCTCTCCCCTCTCCATTTAATTGCAGAGGTTATGTGCACTTGGCAGAGAGAGATGGAGAGGGAGCAAGCACCCCCGAGTGGGGCATGGTCACCCCACAGTCCCTTCTCCATCTTGCCCTCGGGATTTTTGGGCACACACGCACACATGGCTAGTATGTCTTTCCAGTGACCAAGGCTGGGAATCGAATTGTGGTCAGCTCTGTGGGACCCGTCTCCCCCAGCCCGTAGGCTATTGGTCAGCCCTCTGGTGTCTCTTCTTTTTTTTGAGAGATATTTGCTATAGGGCGTGTGCAGTTGCCAGAGAGAGAGAGACAGAAAATGAGAAATCACCCCCCAGGGGGGATGCCCACGCCACAATCCCATCTCCATTCTCCTCTCAGGATCTTGGGCATGCGCACACACGTGCCCAGCATGAGTTTCAAGCTGCCAGGTCTGGGACTCGAACTGCGGTCAACCAACTAGGAGTGCAGGACCTTAACCACTACCCCACCTGCTGGCCCCTGGTGTCTCTTTTAAAGACTAGAATCCTACTGTGTTGGGGCCCACTTAGGCCCTCAGCATGAATCACCCCTTCATCTCCAGATGCAGTCACGTGGGGGTTTGCACCTGGGGGGCTCAGACACTGCTCTGCCACCGCAGGCCCCAGGCCGACTGTGACCACCCTGCCCCTCCCACAGGCACCCTCTGTGAGTGCTACGACGAGCTGGGCAATCGCTACCAGCTGCCCATCTACTGCCTGTCGCCGCCCGTGAACCTGCTGCTGGAGCACACGGAGGAGGAGAGCCTGGAGCCCCCCGACCCCACCCCGAGCGTGCGCCGCGAGTTCCCGCTGAAGGTGCGCCTCTCCACCGGCAAGGACGTGCGGCTCAGCGCCAGCCTGCCCGACACAGTGGGCCAGCTCAAGAGGCAGCTGCACAGCCAGGAGGGCATCGAGCCGTCCTGGCAGCGCTGGTTCTTCTCCGGGAAGCTGCTCACAGACCGCACGCGGCTCCAGGAAACCAAGATCCAGAAAGATTTTGTCATCCAGGTCATCATCAACCAGCCCCCGCCGCCCCAGGACTGACGGCCCACGGACCTCTGGGCAGAGAGGCCCGCCTGGAGTCCAGACCCGCCCTGCCGCTGCCTTCCAGTGCCGTTCTTTTCTCTGGGGGCACCTCCCTGCCCCGTGGCGGCGGTAGAGCCGTGAAGGGAGCCTGCCTCCAGCTCTGTGGGCCATCGGCACTGGGCACCCAGGTAGCAGTGCTGCCGCCCACAAGCCTTGCCAGGCTTGTCAGAGGAGAGGCGAGCCGGGCCCTCCACCCTGCTGCCCTGGCACAGGTTTGAGCCCCGAGGGCCCACCCAGAGGCCCTGGAGCCCAGCCCCGCCCTCTGGTGCTGCCGGCAAGGGCTCACTCCGGTTTCGTGCTCAGGGTCTGAAGCAGCTGCTGTCTCCCTCCTCTGCCTCCATCCCCTGGCTCTGCCCTGGGCATAGCGCCAGTGCCCTGGAGAGGAGGGAACCACCAGTGAGCCCCAGGGCTTGGGGGAGTCTGCCCTTCCCTGCCCCAGCACAACTGGCAGAGATGGGGAGGTGGCCAGATGGTCGGGTTGTCGTGGCAGGAGTGTGCACAGGGCCATCGTCACCTGGCTGCAGCCTGAATGGGGGTCTGCCGCCCGGCCGTGGCGCCCACAGCAGGTCCTTGTGTACAGACATATCTGCATATTTATCAATAAAGCCTTTTGCTCCTTCTCGCTTGCCTGGCATTTGACTTGAGTTCTCCTGCAGCACTGGGGTGTCCCTGGAGCTGGTTCGATGTGGAGCAGGTAGGTACATGACCTCCCCCCCAGCTGCTTTGAGCACAGCAGCATAGGCAGCAGAGCCAGCTGTGGACTGCTGGGCTTCTAGGCCCTGATCTCACTTCTTGTGTTCTCATGGGTCCTCAGGACATGCCACTTAACCCCTGAACCCACTTCGCTGTTCTTTGAAGTAGAAGTAATGCCACCTGCCCTGGCTCCCCATCTGTTGCTGGGAGGATTAATGGGGAAACAGACGCAAACGTGCTTCAAGAGCAAAGGCAGGACCTCTGGGAGGTGACACCAGTTAGTGTCAAAGAAGCCACGTCCACTCCAGTCCACAGCCGGGCCCTCAAGGCCGCGCCCTGGAGGTGTCTGACGAGAAGTTCTGGCAGGCGAGAGTACGAGCACATGTCGGAGCTTTGGGGATGCGGAGAGAAAAAGGAAAGCCGGGCCTGGGTGCATGTCACAGAGAAGGGACTGTCAGATAAGCTCGTTTGGCCACAGCAGGCCATGTGAGCGGTATGGAAGCCCAGCACTGGTGCGTCTGTGGCTCACTGGCAGCAAACACCTGGGTCATGGCGACCCCGGCTGGGTCTCAAGTTCCAGGTGCTGCCCTGAGCAAGCACAGGCCTGCCTTCCCCTAGTTGGGAATCTTTATTTCTCAGTGAGCTGGGTGGACTCTTGGTCAGGGGTGCCTGCCCCTGTTGGCCTGGCAGGGAAACCCCAGAGGGAAGGAGGATGGGGGTGACCGCTATTCCTCCTCAGTGGGGCTTCCTGAGACCCTGGTCTTGAAGCTGGACCCTGTAAGTCCTGCAGAGGCACTGAGGGAGGGGCCGGCAGGTGAGGTGTGTTCCTGACTGGCTATCACCTGGGCAAGTACAGCGATGCTTCACGGGGGGCACTCTGGGAACCCTGGGGGCCACAGCCAACGACCGGGCAGTCAACGCGGGGCAGCCGCCGGCCTCCCACTGCTGGTCCAGGACTCTGACCTGGACAAGGCATAGTCTGCTCCCCACAGCGGCAGAGCCTGTTCCTGGGGGCGCAGGCCTGTCCCTGGTGCCCGCGTTTGCTGTTCAGACCCCCTTACTGGCACCAGCTAGACAGGGTTTCTGGGTCTCCAGTAGGTGGCGCTGCTCTCTGAGCCTGGGCAGGCAGCCTTGGTCCCTTGTGCAGCCCAGCTGCCCTGGCTAAGGCCTAGCCAGGCCTGAGTCCTCAGGACAGAGGCTGGACAAGGCTCCTTCCTGCAGCCCTACTCGGGGCACTGTGCCCTCCAGCTTCAATAGGCCAGCAGTCAGGGTGGGGGGGCAGCTGTCCCTGCTGCCCGAGGCTGCCCGGGGTGAAGGTGACAGGTGGGGGAGGCAGGTGGAGAATTAGGCCGGTGAGCTCATGGCAAAGGCGCCCAGCTGGGCGGGGGTGGGTGCCCTGGCCTATAAAGCCCCCGAGGCTCTGTTGCAGGCAGAGGCAGCTATGGACGGCACCATGGCGGGTTCGGAGGCTGTGCAGAGGGCCACGGCGCTCATTGAGCAGCGGCTGGGGCAGGAGGAGGAGAACGAGGTACCGGCCGGGCTGTGGGACTCGGGGGTCCAAGGAGACCCAGCTCTGCTGCCAGGGGAAGGGAGATTCTGGCCACACCATGGTGGGGAGGGGACAGGAGTCCCCAAGAGGCCGGCTGGTCCCATTCCTGCCCCAGTGTGTTCCTAGTAGACGGGCTGCTAGCAGTGGGAGACAGGCTCCAGCTCCCAAAGCCATCAGAGGCGGGGAGCCTGGCCAGACTCCCCGAGACCCTGCCCACCCACCTGCGCTTCAGGAGCTGGGTTGGCTCTACAGGACAGACAACTGAGGTGCTGCCTGGGAATGTCAGGAGTCCCCGACATCCCCAGCTGCTGGGTGGGAGGCTGGGATAAGAAGAACCAGTGTTCAGTCACTGAAGAATAAAGACTGGGAACAACGAAGAAGCACGCAGCCACGCTTGGGGAGGCCTTTGGAGCATGGGGCTCTGGCCAATTACATCTTCTCTGGGATGAGGAAGTGAGGCAAGGGGTGGCGGCTTGTCCTGTTCGTTTTATTTAAACTGATACTTGACCCAGTGTCTGCTCTTCCAGCTCTGGGTGCTGGGAGCGGTGGAGAACTAGAAGGCCAGACCCTGCCTTCCCTGCCAGCCCAGCATTCACTGGAGCCAACATCTGTCAGTTACATACTCAACCATCGAAGAAATAAGGCAGAGGGGTTGTCTCCATGGCCTGGTGTTTGGAGCAGCCACATCACGTGGCCAACCTTGCAGTCCCACATCGCGTGGCTTTGAGAAATACAACAGGCGCATGTGCATGCGTGCTCAGAATCCTGAAAGGAGAGAGAGGAGGAGGAGAAGGGGTGCTGTGTGACCATGCCCCATAGGGGGTGCTTTCTCTTCTCTCTCCTTTTCTGTCTCTCCCTAGTGAGAGTACACCACCGGGGTGGGGTAGGGGAGGAAAGGAAGGGCAGAGCGGAGAAGTGGTTAGATAGTGGTATGGATTAGAAGTGAAGGAGGGGGACCAGCAGTTAGCATAATGGCTATGTCGCTGGACTCCCACGTTGTTGACTGCGGTTCGCGTCCCGGACCCGGTGGCTTAAAACTCAACGCTGGGCGCGTGTGCATGCATGCCCTAGATTCCGAGAGGAGAATGGAGGAGAAGGGATTGCGGCGTGGCCATACCCCCTGGGGGGTGATTTCTCGCTTTCTGTCTCTCTCTCTGGTGATCGCATGCGCCCTATAGCAAAAACCTCTCCAAAAAAAAAGAAAAGAAAAGAAAGAAAAAGTGAAGGAGGGAGGGTGAGTCGTCCCAGCTACATGCCTCCAAGGCTCTGGACAGGATGCTCTTCTGAGCTGGCTGTTGAAGCGTCATGAGTGGCGATGAGGATGTGGAGGAGTGAAAGCTAAGGAAATAACAGGAGCATATGTTTTCCTGTGAAAGCGTGGCTGTTAGGGAGAAGTCTGGGAGAAGGGAGAAGTGGGGAATGAGCCAGAGAGCCAAGCAAAAGACACTTACTTACTCTCGGGACCAGCAGATGGCATGATGGGTACATCGCTGGACTCCCAGTGGTTCAAGTCCCAGACCCGGAGGCTTGAAACTCACACTAGGTGCATGTGCGTTGGTGTCCAAGATTTAGAGAGGAAAGTGGAGGATAATGGATGGCTATCCCCCTGCGGGTGATTTGCTTTCCGTCTCTCTGGGGAGCACTCGCACCCTACAGCAGAAATATCTCTTAAGGGACTAGTAATTGGTGTAATGGCTATGTCGCTGGACTCCCATGGAGTCAACCGCGGTTTGAGTCCCGGACCCGGTGGCTTAGACTCACGCCGGGCGTGTGTGCGTGTGTGCCCAAGATCCCAAGACGAGAATGGAGAAGGGATTGTGGCATGGCCATCCTCCCTGGGGTGTGATTTCTTGCTTTCTGTCTCTCTGTCTCTGTCTTTCTGGAGAGTGCATACGCCCTATAGCAAAAACCTCTCCCCACTCCCACCCAAAAAAAACTCTTAAAAAAAAAAAAGGACACTTATCCTTGGGTAGTGGGGAGCCAGTGCTGAGGGAGGGAGAATGGTGCCATCTTACCTACTTTAGGAGGGCAGCTCCCTTGGCCCCCAGGACTTGGTGGAAGGGCAAGGCCAGCCCTATCAGGAATGGCAGGGAGGAGCTCAGTGGGTTTGGACACGGGTGCCCATCAATAAAGGAGCCTGATTGAGTAAGGGCGTGAGGCAGAAGGAAGGATGCAGACCCCAGGGAAGAGGAGATGAGGTCAGGTTTGTCAGTGAAGAGCTCAGACTGAGTGGCTGAGCCCTGGCTGGGGCATCCCTAGACCTTCAGGAATCCCATTTGTCACCACCAGGGACGTGCACACATGGCTGGTTGGGCCAGGCAGGTGAGTCACACTGTGTGCCATTCCTGGAGGTGTTGCCACCAGACGTGGGCCTTCAACACAGGGACACGAGCAGTCCTCACCCTTCATTCACCCGACAAATACAGCCCTGGGGCCCTGGGTGCCTGCAGGGCCGCTGGGTCTGGGCCCTGGGTCCCCACCAGGCGCCGTCTCCGTGCCAGGCGCCTCTCCATCAGTCTGCATCTATGAGATGGAGTGGGAGTTTGGGTTCAGAAACTAACATCAGATTCAGCAAATACTGACCACCTGCTGTGTGCCAGCCCTCAAAGACAACTCTGCAGACGGGGGCTAGAGAATCTGGGTGGGGGACCAGCAGTTGGCGTAATGACTGTGTCACTGGACTCCCATGTCGCCAACCGTGTTTCAAGTCTCGGACCCGGTGGCTTAAACTCACACTGGACGTGTGCGTGCATGCCCAAGATCCTGAGAGGAGAACAGAGAAGGGATTGTGGCGTGGCCCTCCTCCCGGGGGGGGATTTCTTGCTGTCTCTGTCTCTCTGTCTCTTTCTGGCAAGCACACGTGCTCTATAGCAAAAATCTCTCAAAAAAAAAAGAGGATCTGGATGGGGCGTGGTGGCCACTGGGTCCCCAGTTTTTCCCACTGCGCCCCAGCCCAGAAAGGCTCTCAGTGGTATAGCCTGTGCCCCTTCCCCAGGGCGAGGGGATGGAGGGCCCTGGGGGCAGTACGGGGTGGAGCTTGGCTGGGAGCTTATTGGAGCAGGGACTCTGGGAGAACTTGGGGGAGGGCAGGGCCATTTACTCTTTGTCTGACCAGCAAGGACTCGCTGAGCACCTCCCCCTGCTAGGCCTGCCACAGGCACTGGGGATGCTCAGATGAATGACACAAGTCAGCCCCTGGGTGCACCATGAGCCCAGCCAGAGTCCCACTGGCGGCTGCAGCCCGGGATCATTTCTTGTCCCTTGTCCTGGGGACGCCAGCACTGAGGAGCCCCCTCACCCTAGACATTTCAGCCGCCAAGGAGGTGTGGGCGACAGGCCCCTCAAGACGAAGCCCTGCAAAGCAGCCCTCAGACCACCCTGTAACCCTGGCCCACCGGCAGTGAGAAGTAGGAAAGGCAGGGACCAGCGGTTAGTGTAATGGCTGTGTCACTGGATTCCCATGTAGTCGACTGTGGTTCACGTCCCGGACCCGGTGGCTTAAACTCACGCCGGGTGCATGTGCGTACGTGCCCAAGATCCCGAGAGGAGAATGGAGGAGAAGGGCTTGTAATGTGGCCATCCCCACCGGGGGTGATTTCTCGCTTTCTGTCTCTCTGTCTGTCTGTCTGGCAAGCGCACATGCCCTATAGCAAAAACCTCTCAAAAAAAAAAAAAAAAGTAGGAAAGAGCTGAGCTCCACATGGTGGCTGTGCCTCCCACTGCCATCCTCACGTGACATGAGCTGCACAGGGGTGTCCCAGAGGTGGGGGTACCAGCACTTCCCAAAGAGTGTGGACATAGCCCTGGAGAATCAGAGCTGCAGATGGTGAGGAGCCTGGGAGGGGAGGCCACCTGGATTGCTCCAGCCAGGATTAGGCTAGCACCAGGAGCCCACCGCAGGCCGAAGGCAGGGGAGCTCTTGCTATGCTCCCCAGTTTCCCTGAGAGCAAGTTTCCACTTTGAGATGAAAAAAGACGGTGTCTGACCTAGAGTTACCTTTCCTTAAATTTGCCAAACGGTACATGCACTCCTCTCAGAGAAACGGAGAAGGAAAGTGAGAAAGCACCCCCCCAGGGGGCATGGTTATGCCCCCTCTTTCTCCATCTCTCCCTCCTTTCAGGGTTTGGGGCACATGTGCACAAATGCCCAGAGAGTTTCTCAAGCTGCCAGGTCTGGTACTTGAAGCCTATAGTAGGGAGATCCAGCCACCTTAACACCGTGTCACCAGCTGGTCCCCGATATTTACATTACCAAGTAAGACTGCTGGAAAAAAGCTCTCACCTCTTACCACAATTACTTCATCAAAGTGAATTTTTAATTCCAAAAAATAATAATAATAATAAAAATTTGGTGCTTAAAAAAGTGAATATTCTTAGGGCCAGCAGGTGTCTGTGCATGCGTGCCCAAAATCTTAAGAGGAGATTGGAGAGGGGGAAGGAAAAGTGAATATTCACTTTTTTAAGGAGAGAGTTTTGCTATAAGGCACATGGGCTCACCGGAGAGACAGAGAGAGAGAGACAGAAAGCGAAAAGTGACTCCCCTGGGAGGGACGGCCACACTGCGATCCGCTCTCTACCATTCCCTCTAGGGATTTTGGACATGTACACACATGTGCCCGGCATGAATTTCAAGCCACCAGATCGGAGATTCAAGATGTGGCCAGCCACATGGGAGTACAGGGCCTTCACCACTACACCACTAACCCACAGGGCCAGCATAAGCAGGCCACGCTGCGTTCTGCTGCAGGAAGGAAAGTGAATACTTATTTTTTTCAGGAGAGGTTTTTTGCTATAGAGCACATGCGCTCGCCAGAAAGACAGAGAGAGACAGAGAGACAGAAAGCGAGAAATCACCCCCCCAGGGGGGATGGTCGTGCCACAATCCCTTCTCTTCCATTCGCCTCTCAGGATCTTGGGCACGCATATGCACACGCCTGGTGTGAGTTTAAGCCACCGGGTCCAGGACTAGAACTGCAGTTGACTACATGGGAGTCCAGTCACATAGCCACTGTGCCAACTGCTGGTCCTGGAAAGTGAATACTCTTACGATTAATATAGCAAAGTGAGGTATTTTAAAGATTTATTTATTTATTTAATTTTATTTGTTATTGTTGCTTATTTTTAAGTTTGGCCAGAGAGAGAGAAAGGGAAGGTGAGAAAGCAAGTCGCCAGGTGTGGAACTCAGACTGCTGTTGACCATGTGGGAGTCCAAGCCTTAACCACCATGCCACCCGCAGGGGTTCCCAAAGTGAAATTTTAATGACAAAAAAGTTTTAAAATAATCCTCTTGAGGGCCTGCAGGTTGCATGGTGGTTAAGGCACTGGAGAATCACATAGCTGACAGCAGTTCAAGTCCCGGACCTGGCGGCGTACCTTCTTACTTCCCCTCTCTCTCCTGCTGCGTCTCTTTGGTGAATTTAATAATTATAATAATAAATAAAATTAATTTTTATTTTGAAAAAAAACATTGTTGGCCCTTGAAAAGTTTTATTTGCGGACCAGCAGGTGGCAAGGTGGTAAGGGGTGCTGGACTCCCACATGGCTGACAATGGTTCGAGTCCTGGACCTGGCAGCTTGCTTTCTCACTTTCCCTCTTTCTTGCTCTCACTCTGCCCTTCTCTGGTTAAATAAAAATAAAAATAAATAAAGTTAAATAAAATAATTCTTCAAAAAAAAAAAAAAAAAAGAAAAGTTTCATTTCATGAAATGCTCCCTCAGCAGCCTTTACCCTGTGTGGTGGGAGACCTAGGGCAGTCGGGCAGGTGGGTAGGTGGGCAGGCGGGCAGGGGG